TGGGCCTCCCTTCAATATACTTGTGAGAGTTCAATAATAAATTACTACGTGGTACATGCAATCTTTATAATTATAAATACCTGATTTTCTAATAATTCACTTCAAAGGTACCTAATTTAGTAATTCAAAGTAAATATTGAACTGAAATGACAATTGTAGTTTGAGTACACATTGTCAATAATTAAAATTCCCTTTTTCGGAGTTTCTGTTCAGCAAAAGAGCGCTAATGAAATCACCAACATTCAAATTTTGGGCCATAGAAATCTCGATGGATAGAATAGCCAAATTGTTTCACCCTTCTTGTACTATATAGAATTTCCTAAATGAGTTTTTAGCAATTTCAGTTTCGAAAATGACCGCTCGTCACCAGCGGTGGTCACAGTAATTGTGAGAAATAACAGAAATGCAGTGTACACTTCAGGAAAGCTTGAAGATATAAAATGATTCTTTATTATATTAACAAACAGGTATTTAAAATAAATCAAAGACAAAACTATTTCTATTACTAAATGTGTAATAATAAATGTTGGGAGACCCTGTAGTTACGCCACTGTTGAGGAGTATGTATTTTTGCAAGTCATTTAGATTTTCACGTGTATGTTAGATTAACACGCCTAGGTCCATAAAAGCGCCCGAAATACATACAGCATTTTATGCACGACCGATTAAGAGATTTTTTTTTTACTGTCAATATGAAATTTATCAATGATTTTGAATCCATGTGGTCAAATTATGTATGCCACGAACGAAGAAAAATCGTGCTAATTTACGCCCGCGATTCTGGGAGATAAAGTACCACTTTACGCCTGGTCGTGCATAAAAGTAATTAGAATGAGTTAGAATTATTGGAGAGAAAACACAAAGTATCACTTCTTTTCTCTTAATATTATATCTTATACAGGCTGATTCACGGTGGATGGCACATCAGACGTTTCTGGTGAACCAGGCAACGGATCACTTTGAAAATTTAATGGAGGGCATATTCGGACATTCTCTAGCCAACTAAAATATTTTCGACAATGCGGTGTTGCCGCTTCTATTAGAAAGCAGTAGCAACTTTGATTTTTCAAATGGAACACTCTGTATATAATATTATTTTTGGAATCTCCAACAATTGCCCGACAACTTTTCTTGATATTTTCCTATACCTATCTGTTACCGTTTTCGAAATAAAAATTAATTTAAATTTTTTTCTTCGAAAATCATGACTTCTAAAAATGCCGATATCTTTTAGTTAAGAAGTACTATGATATCGAAATTTGGTTTGGAGTTAGGTGATATTTGGACACTTCCCACACGTCAGCCTAATCTCCGTTACTTCAATACAGGGTGGTAAAAAAATACAGTTTTTTCGTTTGCTTGAAAAAGTTGCTGAAATTTGATTATTTTAAATGGAACAGCCTGTATATTATTGAAAATTCGGAAAGCTCCTGAAATTTGCTTTCTTTCTATGCATATCATACCTATACCTAACTAGTCAAGTTTCGGACTTATGAGCATTTATTTGTGAAAATGTCCCTTCAGAATGGTATTTCCATTCGGTATTTGGTAAGCAGGCCATGATTACTATTTGACAGTAGCGTTGTGACATTCTCCTAATAATATCGATATTTTCGTCACTTCAGAAGATGCAAATACCTTCAAAACGATGGAACAAAACTATTCAAACGAAGTTCTTATGAATTTTTGGACAGTGTGATAAAATTATCAGCAGAACATGTGGAAAGTTCAATGAAATGTATCCGAATCTACCGCCAATGAACCTCAAGAAATTTATACGAATTCAGAACAATTTCAATGCATTTGGATCAACTTTTTTATGACATTGACACGTCAATTACTAGAAACAAACACCCTATAAATCAGACAGGAGACACATTTTATATATAGGTGATTTGGGTTTGAGCTCAGGATTCTATATAGTTGGTATAGTTTTTTTTTTCAATTAGTAGTGAAACACCCTGTATGATCACGTGAGAAATATTTATATTTGAAATAATATATTGTTCTGATAGTCCTGATGCTGATAGGTAACCCTACTCGACATAAAATGCAAGCTGCATTTCAATTACCTGTTCGATGAAATTTTTGAGACTTTTCGAATATTATCAGGAGACACACGTTATCACCAACAAAACGAAAATAATTGAATATATCTTACCTGCTGTGTTGGACATCCGAAACACCTTTGTTGCTGTGTAGACAGCTCTACTGGAACTCTATTTACTTCTAAACCATCACAAGAAACATTCACAAAAACTACACCAACAAAAATCAGCACCACCATGACCTCGCACATTATGAATGATTGAAAATGTCACATATTAAAAAAAAAACACCTCCACAGTTCTTGCTGCTCAGACTGTTTTGTATATCTTCGCTATTTATGAATATTATAAAGATTTCGATTATCGTTCTTTTTCTGTCTAGTGCCATTGATGGAAGGGAAACTATTACTGATTGCATGAAATGGGTTCATTAAGAGTACGTGTAGATAATGATATTATAATTGTATTCCGATGTTGGATTAGGCATGGGAGCGATTCAGATAAGTTTAGGAAATGATGGGTTTTTTAGGACCTATATTAGGTATAGGTACGGGTGATGTTTTTATTGGGCTGTTTAAAGGATTTATGAAGATTAGATTATTGCCATCAACTGGAGCTACCTAATGCCTAATACAGGTAAAAAATATACCAGACAGGTAGCTAGTTAATCAATGTATGTACATGGTGATTCACCATAAATGATCCCCCCTCTAGCTTAGTTATTTTTGAACCGATTTAAAAATTTTTAGGAATAATTTGAAATTATTTTTCACAAATTTATGTTCCGCTACATGAGAAAATACAGGTTGCTCGTAACAAACGATGTACAGGGTACTAATTGTTTTTTTTAATGAAACACCCTGAATTTCATTGCATTTTTGGATTCTACCTGAATCCTAAAGTTGAAAAATCTGGATTTTGAACATCCTATATCTCTGTAATAATTCCCGCTAGACCCCAAGTGTGATAAATTGATGAAATTAACTCTTCAGGGATAATCTAAGAATGCAATTGAAATACAGGATGTTCCATTTAAAAAAATCAACTAGTACCCTGTAAATCGTTTGTTCCGAGCACCCTGTATTTTCTGATATAGCGAAAATAAAATGATGAAAAATCATTTCAAATTAAATGAAATTTTGAAATCGGTTCGAAAATAACTGAGCCAGAGGGGAGACATATGGTGAATCACCCTGTACATACCTGTAGGTAGTGCAGGTAGGTTATTCTGGACAACAAAAATTAGGTATGTTCTCGGGGTGCTCGGGTATGGTAAACCAATCTTGATATTTTCTAAAAAATTGTATCCATTTGATACATCTATATAATGAATTTGAATACTGTCGGGACTAAGTTTATAAAGTGGTAAATTTGTTCAGATCCTGTAATCAGTATAGTATTCATTTATGATTTTTTCTTTTTGTGAGAATATACAGGGTGTCCCGTGAATCGATGCCCATAGCTGAAGGGCATATTCCTTGAAAATTTTCAAGTCGAAAGTGCCTTATACACTTTTGTCCAAAATATTAAATCAAACAGAGTGCGTAGAATGAACTTGAGATGTTGTTGAATAAAGAGTAAAGTAATGTGATATTTTATCAACTGATAGATATTTTATTACACAAATTCAAATAAAGTTTTTGTTCAAGAAGTCCACCGCTGCATTATCGCTCTTATAATTATCGAAGACGTTGCTATATGAAGAGTATCTGGATCGTCTCGTAAAGATGCAGCTGCAGTCATAATATTTTGAATTAGCTCATATCTGGTTCGTGGTTTATTTGAATACACTTGATATTTTATATATTCCCAAAAATAATAGTCAAGAGGCGTTAGGTCAGGTGACCTCGGTGGCCAAAGAACTGGAAAGGCTAAACCATTAACGGAAAATCTTTGATGAAATCCGTATTTTCGATTCAATTGCAGATTACATGTTATACCATAAACAGTGAGTGGACGCGGTGTATGTTTGGTTGCATATGGTACAATCGTGCATTAATAGAGAAATCTATTATCAATAGTGGTCAATAATGATCAATTCCATAAACATCAAACTCACTTGCTTATAGGAGGTCGACGGAAATAGTTACTTATACACCAAGGTAGTAAAGAATATCATTAATACCCAGGGACCAAGATTATATCCCGACGGAGGGGTATAAAGTGGTATATATTACATTTTGTGCACCACAACAATATGTTTAGATCATTATAGATCTGTGAAACTGAAATGTGAACCATGTCACTATGAAAGCACTTTTTTTCAATTCTAATTAAATTCTCGTCACCATGATAAATACCTACTAGATCTCAGTGCCATTCTTGTGAATATGGCATCAGAACAATGAATTCCTGTTGATTATAACAGAGGCTATGTCTTTATTGACTATAGTGGTTAATAAAATGACGAAAACTACCTTGGTTTCAATAGCTAGTGGTGGAAAAACAATATTATCTCCCTATACAGGGTGTCCTATAAGTAATGGATGGAAAGAAGTGTGGTGGTAATTAGTAATGGAACTATAACGTATATGTTTTTATCAAATTGTTGATGGTTCAAAATCAATTATTTTTATAGAAATGAAAAAACATCCATGTATATCAGCGCCACTGATGTAAATCCAATTGCCCTTTAAAATTTTTTGCATATTATTTTGCGACCACTAACCTTCTTGCCTTTGGATAATATAGATGTACTTGCTATATGATAATAGCTCACTTCTCACCCTATTTCATGTCTTGCTTTGATCACTCAGTAAAATATGAAAATGTAAACCATTGCAATATTCATTTTAGGCAGATTATAATAATGTGAATTCCAATGATTATTCTATGTGCAAGTACCTATTCAGTAATATCCTCATGTAATGATACCTATACTGTGATAAATCAAACCAGAAATCAGTAATCTATTCACTAAATAGTGCATTATGTATAGTTGGTGAAGAGAAAATTGTGTTTTTCAAAATTCCACAATATATTACAAGCTTTGAACTACAATAAAATCTTAACTAAATGATTATCTAATGGTGTTCCTCATGTCCATGTTCACTGGGGTAGATCCTATCATAAATTGCTGTACCGCCCACAGTGAGCACAAAAGCTGCGAATCCGTACCGGAAACCCCTGAAGAAGACCTTCTTCAACATGATCTTTTCTGTACTCCAATACTTGGGGTCATAGCGCCATACTTCATTTCTGAGCCAGGGATCTTTTAGACCTTGAGAGGCTAGGGCTCTTTGAGTGGTCAGCAACTCAGGCACGTCTTCCACCTTGTAAATCCTCCAATCTGGGATTTTGTAAGGTTCGTGGTGGCCGTGTCCGTGTCCATGTCCATGGTCGCCCCCCATAGCTGGAGAATAACATAACCTCAAATTATTAGATAACCGATTAATAGCAAATAGCCAAACATTTTTTCACAATTTGATATATGATTTGGAGAATCTTCACATTATTTTTGTTCTTACCTAATTATTTTCAATTAGGACACACACAAAAATAATAAATGTTATGGAATAGAACGTATCGCATTAGAGGTGGAAAACTATCGATAGCACTATCGATATATTTGTACTATCGAAACAATAGAATACTCAACGTATTCTGTGGTAGAGCTCTACTGTGCCCAGAGTTCCATAGTTCCATAGCTGACGAGAGTTCGACACTTCGAAGTTCACCGAAGGACAGTAAGTAAAAAATCAATCTTATCTAATATATCTAATAAGAAAATTATGATATTGGACCGAGGGAAACAATAACTAGAGAGAATATGTCCCAGCTACAACTGTTCTGTCCGAGAGAATTTTCTCCAAACCAAAACTGGTCAAATAAATTTTATTGGGTCTCAATCCTGAAGTCATCAAAGTGGTCCTACGAGTACCAGTGGGATTGATTACTCCCTCCAGAGCATCACAACAAGTCATTTTTAAATGTCTTCATGTTAAAAATGATGAAAAATAAATCAAAAAGAAACTCAACAAAAATATTGAGAAATTATGAGCCAATAAAATTGAAACAAACAGCAGAATTTCTACATCGTCCTGAAAAGGATCCTTGTTACCATCTGGAGATTCACTTCAGGACCAACTTTGCCTGAATTCTGAAAAGTAGGTAAAATCAATGTGGACAAATATATTAATAGTATTATCGATAGTTTTCAAATAAACTGTCGAAAGTATCGATAGCATGTCCTTAGGAAACGTCAGACGTCATGAACGGTTACAGTACGAACATGATTGAATGAAAATTTGACACTTTTGACAGTATTGTCAAAGTCAGTTTGTCAGTGTCATAATCAATCATCAGAGGGCAGAGCAGTTCCAGAAAAAGGCAAGCATCAAACACGAATAATTGGATATCATACTCGAATTTATGGAAATAAACTGAAAATAAATTACTATTTCACCACGTAATGGGTACAGAAATTCTCCAAACATATGGAACTCTCCAACATGAGCTGGAAGAAGCGAAAAATAACTTGAAAGGTACAGATGAAAGTTTGAAAAGGTTGATAGGCAGAGATCCCTCAGAATTGCCCCCTAGAATCTCTGCAAAACGTCCCCTTCCTGATGACAAGAACAGACCCGGTATCAGAATACAAAGTAGGATACGAAACTTTGCACATGAGAATGAAGCACCTGCTGCTAAAAGAAGAAACAATGTGTCAGTGTTCCAAAGACTGTCTGAGAAGGTAATAGATGATGATGACCTCTTTGTTCAACAGAAAGGGATGATAAGCAAAGTTATAGTGACTCCCAAAGAAGTACCAAGCAGAGAAGAAGCTCTTGAGGCCCAAAGTAGAGATGAAAAATTCAAAGCAAGAAATAAGAGAATGTTTGGGGCATTATTGGGAACATTACAAAAGTTTCAGCAAGAAGAGACAAAACTGAAACAGAGAGTGAGTCTCCTTAAATGTATTCAGTATTTTATGTTCAATGATTTTTTAATATTTTCAGGAGCAGAAACGTGCAGTTCTAGAGAAAAAAATTGAAGAACATGAAATCAAGGAGAAAGAAGAAGTGAAAAAAGAGAGACAAGAGCTATTTTTCAATCGCAGAAAGAAACAAGCAGAGATAAAGATGATTGAATTGAAAATGTTGAGGATGAGAGAGTATGCTACTTGGGAGAAAAGTCAGAAACCAAGGATGAATTTTATTACCACCAAATCTAAACCTCATATACAATATATGCCTAGGAGAATGACTGACCAAACCAAAAAACTGCTAGAGGACAGTCAAAAAGATGTTGAAAGTAAGTAAATATTCAATTTGTAATTATCTATGAGTAAATTCATTGTTTAGGGCTTGAGTCAAGGTAAGAAAAATAATCTTTCATATCAAATAACAGTTGTTCTTTGGTATACTAACCTTTTTTTTTTGCAGAACTATTAGAAAAAAAGCAACAGCAGATAGCAGATGAATTGAAACACATTGAAGAACGAATGAGACGTAACTTTGATTACAGGAACAGAACAAAAGATGATAAAGAAGTTGTACAAGAAGATCATCATGACAATGAGGACAACAATGATCGTGAAGATCATCTAAATGAAGTCCTTGCAGAATCACAGATTGCCCTCAAAAAAGAAAAAGATGAAATGGAAATCAAAGCAGCAAATATGGAAGATGATAATAATAAGGAAGAAAATAACAAGGAAGAAAATGATAATAATAAGGAAGAAAATGACAAGGAAGAAAATAACAAGGAGGAAAATGACAATGATGAATATGACAAAAGAGACAAAAATGAGGAAGAAAGTAGCCAAGAGGAAGATAAACCAGAACAGAAACCAGTTGAAGAAAATGAAGAAGAAAATATCAAAATTGATTCTGAGGTTCTTGATAATGTGCCCTGTGGAGAAACCATGGATGTTAGTGCTGATGCAGTTAAAGAATTTTCACAAGAAATGGTGTCACAATCAGAAATTCAAGAAGACAGTATCCCAGAGAATAATGTGCAAATGGAACTATCTGAGACTCCACCCTGTGAGTGATAGTGACAAGCTGATAAGTGTCTTTCTGGTTAATACATCTACTAGCAGCAATTAGGAGGGTAGGTATTGAGCTGTAAAGTTAATTTGTATAAATGAGGAATGAAGTTTTAAATACTTTTTTGTATCAACATGTGGAAATTAATTATGAAGGTTTGATGTAGTCCCTGATTACTGTTAATTTATAATCATGTATGTTTTACTGATCAATTGAACCTATGTTTCAACAAATAAACTTCATAGGTAAAACAGAAAGTTTCTTTTTACAGACAGAATGACAATTAAATTAATAGATTGGTTGAAAGATTGGCATTACTCTTGATTCTACTTCTTGGATATCACAATTTTCAAAGTTTACTGAATTTGATTTTACTTGAATATTAGGTAATTAGTGTCCCCTATTTCATGATGAGTTTGTCTATGATTTCTAAAATGATGGTCAATAGTTTGAATATGATCATTTTCATACAATATAATGAGACCAGTAGAGGGTATACAATATTTTATTTCCTCTTTCCTCTGTGACACTTAACAAAAATATGTTGTGCTATTAATGTCATATGATTATTGGTGCATTTTCTATATTATTATTACCTATACTTATTATCTCCTAAAATTAGGCCTGCCTCCTGGATTATCTCCTATATAGTACTGCTTTGAGTACTGTCACATCAGGACAAAAAATATTTAATAATAACAATGCCTGAAAGCATAATATAGACATAGACTTGAAGTATTTGGAATATGGCATAATACAGTGTCCCATTAGGTTTCATTTCATTATCATTATTGGCCTAGGTTGAGAACTTGTTACTTCTTATCAGTGGAGTTTTTTGAATAATTTTGATTTCTCAGATTAGTAGTGAATAAATAAATTTTCAGTTTGTATTACCTTTGTGTACCACTGCTGCACAGGTTTCAGAAAAAAAAAATTCATGATAAAAATGGCCAAGAAAAATCTCTGGAAATTATTTTCAAGTTTCCAGGATAGCCGCTAGAGGGCATAATTGCATTGGCCAACTTAAAAAACATGTTTTTATGAAAATTTGATATATTTATCAAGACATATCAGAAACACTTTTTCCATTTTCTTGAGTAGATTTACAATCATTCCCATGAACAAAATTGCGCTAGCTCTTTAAATGAAAGAGGGAGGGATGGATGAATAGTACTCTGGAAAAACTCTTATCACTACAGTTAGGTGTAAGCGATCTTGGTCTCATTATGATTTTCCGGATAAATCACCAATCAAGTCGATTTAAATTCCGTGGTTTTCGCTTGATGGCATGAAAAATCAGCCGATTTGCAATTTTTTTCCGAGAATTTCAAATGGAACCATATATTTTTCCTGCTATGATATGAAAGTAAAGTGAACGAGAAGAAAAATGGTGAAAACCGCGAGTTGATACCTCTTGAAGAACCGGAGAAATTCTCGGAATAATATTAAAATTTAAACTGTTAGCATGTCAAATGCCTCCTCATTCGTTATCAGCATTTTGACAAATAAGCAATCCACAGTGGAAACTTTCAATTTCAATTATATTTTGACGTTTCTTTCATTCAAAGCCAACTTGCCTTTTCTCATTCCTGATGAGCCTATACATTACTAAAGTCTCCTTCACTGTTGTGAGATATAACAGCAGTTTGTGAAACCAAAATAAATGAATTATTGAAATCATAATTTCATAGATACAGGATATTTCTGATGACGATTATTGAAGTTAGATTCCTGTGGTGAATATTTTCATAATATTATTTCGAGTATTTCACCGGTTCCTCAAGAGGCATCAATTCGGGGTTTCCACCATTTTTCTTCTTGATTGCTCTACTTTCATATAAGAGTAGAATGAATAATATATGGTTCCATTTGAAATTTTCGCAAAAAAAAGGAAAATTGTCTGATTCTTCAAACGATGCCATCTAGCGGCCACCACAGGATTTAAATCGACTTGATTCGTGATTCATCTGGAAGAACCAAAAAAACCCTTCATAATGAGACCGATATCGTTGAATCCCGTTAGACCAAACTGTAGTAATGGGAGTTTTTTCAAAGTACTATTCATCCTTCCCTCCCTCTTTCATTTAAAGAGCTAGCGCATTTTTTTTTATTGAAATAATTTGAAATCAACTCGAGAACCTCAAAAAAAGTGTTTTTGATATGTCTTGATATATGTATAAAATTCTCATAAAATCCCGTTTATTAAACTGGCCATTGCAATTACGCCCTCTAGGGGCTGTCCTGGAAACTTGAAAATAATTTCCAGAGATTCCGAGATACAGCCGGCGTCCTTTCTTATTGGTACACCCATGTGATGTTTTTATTTTCTAGAATTTGTTGTAAGACTTACATGCGCATATATGATAATGATAAACCAACATTTCATCAAGGCAGTTTGATTATAAAATTCGTGTTTTCTTGGTACAAGTATGTAGACAGGAAATCGAAAACCAAAAGATGGAAAATTACCAAAATGTTTTGATTTTGTGATCTGTAGATTCTACCATATTCCAATTCAAATCAAGTTCTTATTATAGCCTAGAAAAGAAGTAGTGTCTGATTGAA